GCACCTACCCTGTCCCTGCGTAGCTGATCCTCTACAGAGAGCAGAGGTTGGTGGTAGTGGCCACAGCCAATCCTTGCAGCTGACTGGCCTAGGTAAATCCCTCCCGTCGATCTGCCAATAGCAACCAAGGCTCAACTACAAGAGGAGGATGTACTCTACTCACACAAAGGACACACTTCAAGTACCCAGCTTGGGTGATAGGAGACACTTGCCGTTGGAGCCTACAGGACACCTACTACATTAGGCCACACTACCAAGACACAGAGTCAAACCAACTCTACCAAATACATAGATACAGACACAGGGAGGCTGCCAAAATGAGGAGACAGAAAGAGCAAGCGGAGGCTGGGATGGAAAAATAGACAAAAAACTTACTTAAAATAACTAAAAAAAAAGAAAGAAATATGACCCAAATGAAAGAACAGATCAAAACTCCCGAAAACAGCTAAACAAAATGGACAAAACAATCTATCAGATGCAGAGTTCAAAAACAGTCTTTCATAAGGATGCTCAAGGACTTTAGTGAGGACCTCAGCAGCATAAAAAAGATCCAGTCGGAAATGAAGGACACAGTAATTGAAATAAAGAACAATTTGCAAGAAAACAGCAATAGAATGGAAGAAGCCAAAAATCAAATCAATGATTTGGAACATAAGGAACTAAAAAACAACCATGTAGAACAAAAAGAAGAAAAAGGAATCCAAAAAAGTGAGGTTAGGAGAAACAGCCTCTGGGATAACTTTAAGAGAGATCCAACATTCACGTCAGAGGGATGCCAGAAGAAGAGAAAGAGCAAGAAATTGGAAATCTATCTAAAAAAATAGCGAAAGAAAACTTTCTTATATTGGTGAAAGAAATAGACATGCAAGTCCAGGAAGTAGAATCCCAATTCTGATGGGTGCAAAGAGGCCCACTATAAAACACATCATCGTAAAAGGCCAAAGGTTAAAGATAAAGACTTCTAAAAGCAAGATAAAAGAAGTTAGTTACCAGTAGGTTGCCAGATGGGAGCAACGAGGGGGAAAATGGGTGAAGAGGTGAGGGTATTGAGAAATGCAAATATGTAGTTACAGAATAGCCATGGGATGTAAAGTACAGTATAGGAAATGAAGTAGCCAAAGAACTTATACGCATGACCCATGGACGTGAACAGTGCTGTGGGTATTGCCTGAGGGAGTAGGGTGATGCTGGGTGGAAGGGGGCAAAGAGGAAAAATCAGGACAACTGTAATAGCTTAATCAATAAAGTATAATTTTTAAAAAAGATGAATTTCTACTCAAGCTACCTAAATTATTTCTCAAGTAGTTATAAAAGTTTATAGGAAACATATGTCATCATCCAATTTGATTTTTTTGAGCTTTGCCCTTCAATAAGTCATACTCCAATATTGTATATTGGAGTGCCAAAAATAGCAATTTTAATTCTAAAGCTATTAGTGGAAAATTGGGGGTCCATTGGGCTGATGAGGGGAGAAACTTTTGTAGAAGTAATTTACCTAGGCTCTTTTCCCAACCCATAGATAATAGGTTTGTTGGGCCAGCTTCTTGGAATAAACTGGTAAACCCTTCTGGAGAGTTTATTTTCAACATTTACCTCATTTGAACTATAACAAGAAACACCGAATTTAAAACAAACAAAGAAAACAGTGAGCTTCGTTTTTTGGTTTGTTTTTGTTGTTTTTTTTTTTCAGCTCAGGTCTCATTTTCTTCCTCAGTCAAAAAGAATTTTAAGCTTGTGTTAATCTACTGAGAAGTTTGCATTTTACTATGACTTTGGCTCCGTGACAAGAATCTGAACAGAGTACAAACATATTTTGAGAGACTTAACTTAGACTTCACTCAATTTTCATAGGCATTTTAGTGACTGTCCTAAAGTCATTGTAGGAGGTGATGTTAAATTCCTTCTCAAAATCTTGTAAGTAATCAGTATTCAAGGGAAAGGTTGTATATATTATTTTTTGAAATTTGATAGAAATGAAAATCAGAGAAAGGCATCTAGAGTGTTTTGCTCTATGGCAGACCTGAGGCTTTTCTTTCTTTCTTTAAAAACACCTGAGAGTGATACCATAGTGTCATCGTGCACCGCACAATGCCTGCTGAGCATTGTAGAGGGTCTTGGTCATGTTCTACCCAGGGCAGGGTTTCTGTGTTTAGCATCCTTGAGATACAAGCTGATACTTTTTTAGACGGTGTTGGGTACACAGTACTAAGAACACTGTTAGAGGTAAAGAGACAATAATTACTATGTGAGTTCAGAAGGAGATATTTCTCACTGGGTAATCAAAGATTCTTCATAATGAAGGTGGCTCAGAAGCAGGAATTTACTTAGGAATGATCAGTAGAATTTCAGTTGAGAGAAGCCCTGGCTGGTGCAAACATATGCAAGTTAGAAAGCAAGGAGTATGTTTAAGGAACTGGAATCTCAGAATAATGTTCACTGTTTTCCAGGAGTGTTTCAACCCTGGCAGAGCATATTTGCAAGATACCCAGCAAAGGTTAGGCCAGTAAATTGTTTCCATCAGTCCTAATTGAATTAGATCTCATTAGGGCTGTGCTTCACTGAGATAGAGTGGACAAGTGTCTGTGATTCAGAACAAGCCGAATAAATTTGCACTGAAAGCCATGTACTTATGAATACTGTATAGCACACCTTTGTTGTAAATTATATTTACTATTATGCTTCAAAATATTGTTAGCAAAGTTTGCTCTAAAAAGATGAACATCTGTATTATCTGCATAAATTTTAGACTTCATATTAGTAAAGTATAAAATTGAAAACAAATGCTTTTCTTATCACATGTAGACACAGGGAACATGGAGTTACTCCACCTATATGGAAGTGAAAAGCAGAAGCAGCAGTGGCTTCAGCCTCTTCTTCAAGGGAGCATTGCCTCCTGCTTCTGTATGACAGGTAAAAAAGCAAACCGCTCTTCTCCCTCGTGAAGTTCATCATCTCAGAGGCGTTGTGGGTGAGCGGAAGAAATGTGGGGTGTGGCTCTGTGTGGCAGGCAATTTGTTTGTGGTCAGAATGTGAATGGCTTTGTTTTGAGCCCAGTTTTAAATTTGGGCCCTTTTAAAAATTTTGTATTTATTCGTTTTTAGAGAGAGGGAAAGGGAGGCGGGGGGAAGAAAGGGAGGGAAACATTGATCTGTTTCTTCTTGCATGTCCCCTATCTGGGGACTGAATCTGGGACCCAGGTATGTGCCCTTACTGGGAACCAAACCAGCAACCCTCCATTTTGCAGAACAATGCCCATCCAACTGAGCCACACCAGATAGGGCTAAATTTTGGAATTTTTAAATGTGCAAAATTAAAGTTGACCTCCCCTTAGGGAGGACACGAGGTGTTTTCTCATAGACATTAGCAGCAGAGTACACCTAGTTTCATAATGTTTTGCCTCGCTTTTCTAAAATTGCCACCTATGGTTATTAAAGATCGTTTTTGCCCTTATGTATGAAATATACATCTTTGTGATAATTTTGTATTGATACTTACAAAATACTTAACTCTGCATAAACCTGGAAAAGTAGAGCTTTCACCAATGCTGGTCATGTAACTCAGATTATCTTATGGGGAAATACAGCTGAGAGCATGTTAATAAAAATGGTTTGGTACCACTTGCACATAGGAAACACTAGTTAACTCTTGAAGAGACAAACAGTATTCTTGTAATTGAGATAGAAGTAAACTAAATTTCATCTGGCCATAATTTTGGCCAGATTTTGTTGTCTTCTGTAATATTACATACATTTATAATAGCAAACTACTCTCTATTAGTAACAGGCATTTATAACACCTGTAGTACAATGCACTATCTATGAAGCACTAAGTTGAGGTTACAGATTAAGCAGAGTCCACGGCCCCCTTTCTAAAGAAACTGAGTCTCTAATTTTAGAAACCAAGCACATGAAATATCTGAAGGAGGACCCATTTAAAAGAGCATTCTGTTACCAAGTACAGATTACTATGATCGGGACCTAGCCCATGGATTCTGAAATTCCATGCAGTAAAGCAGTCGTGTAGGAGTTCCACGGAAAACTTTCTGAAGATGCTAAGTGTTGAGCAGGCTTTATAGAAAGCAAGGTAAGTAAGTCAGTGAAAGCATTCCTGATGGAATTTGCAAGGCATAGTTAGAAATTGTTTAAGATAGTAAACTGTATGGTAAGGAAATCTGGCTTGTAAATATTTAGTACAGACTTCCGTTGTGGTAAGAACAATGTTTTTAATCTACACTTGATGACTGGAAAAAGGATTGGGTTTTATCCCAAGACATATATCAATGAGGAAACCAAGAGCACAGTTCAGATTGCTGATCTCCACTGTTCTAACTATTTCATTCACTTATTCTTCCAATGAACATTTATTGAATACCTACTATTTGTAGGTTATGGGAGAACCAGGGCAGAATGGGGGAAGGATAGGAAGATGAAAAAGATGTTCTCTCTGTCCTCAGAGAGTTCCCATTTCCCTCTGCAAGTCTCTTGTAAACTGACATATTCAGCCTTTGTTTATTTATAGAGCCCGATGTAGCATCCAGTGACGCCACAAACATCGAATGTAGCATCCAACGAGATGGAGATAGCTATGTAGTTAATGGCAAGAAATGGTGGAGCAGTGGTGAGTATTCAACCGATCCTTTGTGCTAGATGCTGTCCTAAAATAATATGACACACAGCTCTTGCTTTTACAATGCCAGTTCTTTAAATTCCGTCTTAGCATTTTCAAATTTAGAAATAGTTGATAAAAAGTAATCTTATAACATGTCTTGATTAGATGATGTTTAGGAGCAGAAAATGTCTTTTCCTTTTACAGTTTGTGAAAGGTAAAATTCATATTAATGCACGATATTTTTGACCTTTGGAATATCTATCAAAATTAAATTTTAACAGGGTCATGTCATATGTACTACAATAATTTATATGTAGTTGTTTTTAGAGAGAAGCTACATGTTACCTAAAATAATTTATTGTACTACATATTTTTATGTCTTAAAAATACAAGTTCTTAAATGAAAAGTAAGAATCTTTCTACACAGAAAAATACATTGTTTAGTCAGCTCTCGATAAAAGACTCAGATAAATAGATGAACACTTTAGAAAGTTATAAAAGTAACTGATTATAATAATCAGATGTGGTTGTCTGACGATCACTTCTGGAGTGTGCATGATAAATCCAACGGGATGACCAGTTCACCACTAAAGAAAGGTGACACAGGGAAGCAAACTGTGTGCTGAGAAACTTACCAGCAATGTATTAAAAAGGCCAGAAAAGCTTATGTACTTTTTTATTGTTGATTGTTATTTTTGGAGTTTTATGAAATCGCTTACAAGAAACAAGAAAAGAAGGGTGAATGAAATTGTGCTGTATAGTTATTCAAGTATTAAAATTATGCAGGAAAATCATTTTTATGTAATATAAAATAATAATAAATGCCCCTTAATATAAGCCTCTGTATTAATGTTAGATGGCCTACTTATAGCATGATGGTCTTATTACTTATGCTTGTTACTACTGTTTTCTGATATTGTTTATTTTAATTTACATGTTTTATGCATTGATTATTTTGTTTCCTGTTCGTGGCTTCTACCCTCCCCCATTCCTCACCCCAACTCTTCTTTGTTCTGAGTTGTGACCATGTGTTTGAGGTTTGAAGTTCAGAATAATGCAGATGTTTCATCTGAGGGCCAAGCATCACTCATGTGCGTCGAAGCAAGACAGAGGCAGTTTTCAATTTAAATGGTGAATGTACTGGTTGGCTCTGTAGGGACTTCGGAATCCAAAGGAATCTCCACATTTTGCCTTTGTCTTCGCCAGGACCCATATTTCTTGGCAACTTTCATAATGTAGTTTTTAAAAGAGGATCCCATGAAAACATAGAGGACTGGGTTGAGACAGCTGTGAAAGAGTGCAACGCTCTCTGTGATTTGGATGGCCACATCCATGCGTTTGCTCAGGTCGCAGTCGGTGATCAGGGAGTAGATGATGTCTATGGCTTGGCAGAACTTGACAATGTTGTAAGGCAGCTGAGTGACAATGAAAACTATAACCACTGTGAACAGAACTTTGAGGGGTCCAGATTTTTTAATGTTTGGCATCTTGATGAGGGTCCTTGCCGTGATAAAGTAGCACACGCCCATGATGAGAAAGGGAATAACAAATCCGATGCAGATTTCCAGCATTTGAATCGATGCCTTCAGTGACGTTTGCAGGTGGTAAGGAAAGATGGGAATGCACCTAGCCTGGTGATTGACTGTGTAAAAAACCAGCTGAGGTATACTCAGCAAGATGGCAAACATCCAGACGCAGAAGCAGATGAGCCGGCATGGTTTTTGCACCCCTGAATGGCTCGGGGCTTTAGTTACCGCCCAGTATCTGTCTATGCTGATACAAGCCAAAAACTGCATTCCAGAGACAAAGTTGACTGTGTACAAGGCTGAAGTGACCTTGCACATGATTTTCCCTAAAACCCACCCATGAACTGCATTAACTGCCCAAAAGGGCAGAGTGAATAGGAGGAGTAAATCTGCCACCGCCAAATTCAGGATGTACACATCTGTTTTGGTTCTCTGCTTCTTGTAATAGGCATAAATTGCCACTACTATGGAGTTTCCGGCAAGTCCGATGATGAAAGCTATTGTGTAGAAGGCAGGCAGGAAAACTTTGGCAAATTTCCTGACCTCTTCTTTTACACAGACCACTTCATACTGACTGTAGTCATGAGTGCCGTTTATTTCATTTTCCTCGTAGTAGTAATCCATTGATTGGTTGTGTTCCAAAGCCATAGCTGCAATCTAAATGGCAGAAAGAATACAGGATACTCATTTTAATGTTGCTTAAAAGTAAACACTTTTTATCTAGCATATGTTTTGTTCTCTTACTAGAGAATAGTTTGCTACCATAACATCCATGAACCTGAATCTGCCACTTTTGAAGTCCCTAATGGAAGCCACACTAGAGTATGTCCCAAGGACTTTTCTCATCCTTTGTCTTTATAAGTCTGGGTGCAGGAGCTGGGATTTATACCAGAAGCTAAAAATAATACCCTGAGGAATTTTCTTAATCATTAAATCCTAAATAAAAAATCATGACTTTTTTGTGAAAAAAAGTTTTTAAAATATGAAAGTTTAGTCAGATTTCAATTAAAAGAAATAAAAATGTTATAATTTTTACATATACAAGTTTGTGATTCATATGCAGTATATTGACCAATTATATAAAAATACATATTTTAATTGCTTAAAGTTTCTTTTTATGTTATTTATTTATAAACTTATGTTTAGATGTTATCTGAGCATTTATGCTTAGCCTCATTAGCTGGCATTTGTAAAGCAGTCTCTTCCAGTTCGCCTTCTTCTCGATGCTGTCGCCACCTGCTCAATGTGCACCACTGTTTGGTAGCCCTGCCACCCCACTGGTCCCCAAGCCCACTAGTCCCTTAAGCACGCACCATCCCACTTCTCTCTCACCTTCATCAGTGATTTCCAGGCAGTCCTTCAGTTCTGATTTTGACCTTCCAAACAGATCTCGAATCTGTCTCCTCTTAATCAGCACTGCCACATCCACACGGACAGACCGTCACTGTTTCTCACCTGGCCTACCACAGTAGCTTCCTAACTGGCATCCTACTGTTCTTATTCTTCCTACCTCCTCATCAAACACATTTGTCTTCCTGTCACCAGAGTGCTGTGTCTCTAAAACGCCCATCTGTTACTCCCCCGCTTGGCTCCTCACCTGAAAGACACATCTCTTCACCTGAAAGATGCAGTCCAAGCTCCTTGGCATGATATCCAAGGCCCCATCCATAATTTGGTCCTACCTGTGGTTCCTGCCACCTCTCTCTACTGTGGGCCCCAGTACCATCGGCAGTACTAGTACTGAGTAACGCAAGCTATGGTACTCGTTCTGGTCCTTTACCTGTTATACTATTTCCTGTCCTTCCCTTGAAGGGCCAGTTCCTACTCAGTGACCTTGGATGTCACCTGTTCCCCCCAGGAAGATTGTCCTGATCCAAAAGCTATACATACATACTTCTCAGAGGACTGACCCTATCCTATGGAAAAGATGTGTTTCCTAGACCACATTTTCCCTCTGTGTTCTAAGTTTCCTGAGATTGTCATTAATACTTTACAGAGTGCCTGGCACACACTAGTTGCTCAGTAAATATCTATCAAAGAAAGGTTTCGCCAGCAGATATTAAACTATTACTCTCCTGTCTCATTATTGTTATTTTACTATATTGGTTATTAATATGCAGAATTCACAAGTTTTAAAATGTATTTAATAATAACTTTCAATGGTTTTATTAGAGTTTTATTAATGAGTTTTGTTTTGACTTTTTTTAGCCTTTCTGTCTGCCCTTGGTTATTTTTGTCCTTGGAAGAACCCCAAATATTTTTATAGAATCAGTAATGAAAATATTTTCAGAATAGTGTGGAATGCCCTGGCTGGTGTGGCTCAGTGGATCAAGTGCCTGTGAACCAAAGTGTTGCTGGTTCAATTCCCAATCATGGCACATGCCTGGGTTGCAGGCCAGGTCGTCAGTAGGGGGCACATGAGAGGCAGCCACACATTGATGTTTTTCTCCCTCCCTTACTCTCTGTCTAAAATAAATAAATAAATAAATAAATAAATAAATAAAATCTTTAAAAAACCAGTGTGACAACTTTACAGTACATTTTCAAAATAATATTTTTATACCTGCTAACCTTTTGGGGGATGAGTAAAGTAAAATAAAGAAGGCCCCCTGAGGAAAGACACCACATAAAAGAATTACTTTAATTATGTAAAAACCAGGTGCTAACAGTTTAAAATGACTACTTTTATCCTTAATGCGATTTGAATTTGAAAGTTCCAATCTGGAAGATTACTCTGATTTTTATTAATTATTAACAAAAAAAAGAACTTTGTTCTTTCTTTCTCTTTCATCTTAAACCAGAAATTTTAAACCTGATCATAAGGAAGAACATGGCCAAATAATACAAGGTTTTAGGGAAAGATGTTTTAAAATAAGAACTGACCTTACCAAAAATGTTCATAAATAGGGATAGGAATGGAAATTATTTCCAGAAAGGATCCTCTAACAGATTCATAGAGACACATTAGATGTCTTTGTAATTACTACAAGAATTTTAAAAAAATAGTGTTTGTAAAACAAAGCAACAAAATGATAAACAGCAAAAGCTTTTTTTCATTAACAACATTCCAGAGACAAGTAATGGTATTAAAATAATACATTTTCTTCTTATTGTGTTCAGATATTTGTTGTAAGCTTAAAGTGTACAGCTGTTTTCAGAAAGTTCTTTTTTGCACATAAACATTTAGATTTTTATGCATGAAAGCTTCCCCTACAAAGGCAAATACACAAAGTCTTTGGGCTTTTAAAAAAATCCTAAGTCAGAATGAGAAAAGGAAAACCAACCTGTTTCAGTGAGCAGAGAGGAGCAGTCTTGAGTGCGGTGTGAATGAAATCCAAAGACCTCTTCTTAACTGCGCTTACTTTTGTTTTCGTTTTATACCCCGCCTTTGTCTTGCATCCAAGAGGGCTTTCCTGCAACTTAACCTTGTGGGTGCTTGATCTGTGTTTTATGTCTAACCATCCTGTGAAATTAAATCCAGGTTCTTAAGTGTCCAGGGATACAAACCTGAAAGAATTTCATCTTGTTTCAACAACTACAGGCCTTTCAAAGTTTTCATTTAGCCAAAAGCAACCAGAAAGCTCCTGTGGTTTAGGAACTGACTGCCAAGCCACCGGCTAAAGAATTCCCCCAGGAGCAGCAAGGCAGCTGACAAGCATTTGCAGGTTGCAGCAGAGGAAATCTCTCTCTCAAGTTGTATTGCCTAGGAAAGCAAACAAAATGATTTTTTCACCCAGAAAGTTATCTTTTTGAAGACTATGTTATCAAAGACTAAATTCTAAGTAAACATTAGGCATATCTAGAATTTAATTTTGTATGCCACATTAATATTTTACTTAAGCTATGAGACTCCTTTTTACTTCACTGTACTCCCCTACCCTTAATCTCAGAGAATGTCCTTCCCCGTGACTTTAAACCCCCTTGCCTTCTTGTAACCCTTTCCTTCAGGCCAGCAGCCCATCCTGTGTCTGAGTAAGTTGTTAATTTTCCTACATTTTAAACAAATGAAAATTAGAGAAGGATGAGACATTTATGCAGATTTAGCCTTTGGGGTTCATTTGAACTCTACTCTCCTCACATTTACATAAGTTCTCCCATTCACTATGTATTCACGCAAGGCTGGGCTCAGTCTCCACCTGCAGAAGTTATTTCAGACCCATGCCATTTTTCTCTTCAAGCAGTTGCTCTAATTCAGTTCACAGAAGAGGCTCCGGTTCACTGCAGCCTCTGTCTTCCCATAACTTCCCACAGTACATATCTGAGGGTACCGCCAGGTTCTCCTCCTTGTTACCCACCAGGCTTTGAGGAAGAGTCATTTTCATGTAACTAAACCAGCACACCAGGAAAAACAGTCCCTGGATCGGTGATGTTTGTCATTTTCCATAAATGTTCCCTCTATGGCCAGTTCTAAGCTACCAACGTGAAGCTGCCGAAAGGAAAATGGCTGAGAGCAGAATCAGCCCTCCTGAGCAGGCTCCAGCACGCTTCTCCCAAAGGAGGCATCGCTTATATTTACCAAACTGATAGTTAATCTTTTGCTGCCTTCAGAAGGACGCCGCTCTTAACGTTATCCCCATCGCTCCCCTCTCTAGACTATCTGGTCTTGCCCCTCTCTTACCTGTTACTCCTCTTGATTTGATACACATCAGGGCAGGAGGAAATGAGTGAGCAATCTTCCACAAAATTCTGAGTGGCCTACAAAATCCCTCCATCTCTCACTGCCTCTCTGACCAAACTTCATAGTACTCACCCCTTTTCTTGCTCGTCCTGCCACACCAGCCTCCTTGCTGGGTTGGAATGTACCACGCATATTTCCTACTGAGAGCTTTTGTATCGTCTCTTCTATCCTATGGAATGTGCTTCCTCTTAATGTTTGCAAGGCTCGCTCTCTCATCTGCTTCAGCTCTTTGTCCAGTCACCACCTTCTCACTGAGGAAATGCGCTCCCTCTGCCTACACTTCCAATTCACCTTACCCGTAGCACTGACCATGTGCTAATGTACCATATCAGTTGTCTGTTGTCTCTTGCCCTGTTGTAGAATATAAACTTCATCAGGGCGGGTACTTTTGTTTGCTTCTTCACTGGTATAGAAGCTTCCAAGTGCTTAGAATAGTGTCTGGCACGTAGTATGTCTGCAATTAATATTTTTATTTAATAAATAATCGTACTTTTCCTTCCGATTATTACCCCATTTTACTTGCCCTTGATGCTATACTTCTTCTTTTAATTTAAATTTTTTTTTCAGCCCTGGCTGGTGTAGCTCAGTGGATTGAGCTCAGGCTGCAAACCAGTCATTGGTTTGATTCCCAGTCAGGGCACATGCCTGGGTTGCAGGCCAGGTCCCCAGTGGGGGTCATGTGAGAGGCAACCACACATTGATGTTACTCTCCCTCTCTTTGTCCCTCTCTTCCCCTGTCTCTAAATAAATAAATAAAATCTTTAAAAATAATTTTTTTTTCAATTACAGTTGACATGCAGTATTGCATTAGTTTCAGGTGTACAGCAGAGGGGTTAGACATTTGTATAATGTAGAGGTGATCCCCCTGGTACGTCTAGTACCCACCTGACACCACACACGGTTACTATAATATTGCTGACTACATTCCCTATGCTGTGTTTACACCCTGTCTACTTCATAACTGGCAACTTTGTACTTAATCCCATCACCTTTTTTACCCAGCTCCCCAGTCCCCTCCCATCTGACCACCATTAGTGTGTTCTTTGTGTCTATGAGTGTGTTCCAGTTCTGTTTGCTCATTTATTTTGTCTTTTAGGTTCCTCATATAAGGGAACCATTTGGTATTTTTCTTTCTCTGACTGACTTCTTTCACTTAACATAATACTCTCTAGGCCCATCCCTGTTGCCACAAATGGTAAGATTTCATTCTTCATGGCAGAGTAATATTCCACTGTATGTGTGTGCCACATCCTCTTTTCTCTTCATCTATAGATGGACACTTTGGTTGCTTTTATATCTTGGCTATTGTAAATAATGCTGCAGTGAACATAGGGATATATGCATGTTTTCAAATACATGTTTTGTATTTCTTTGGATAAATACCCAGAAGTGGGATTGCTAAGTCCTGTGGTAGTTCTATTGTTATTTTTTTGAGGAACTTTGATACTCTTTCTCACAGTGGCTTCACCAATTTCAGTCCCACCAACAGTGCATGAGAGTTCCCTTTTCTCCACATCCTCACCGACACTTGTTTGTTGATTTATTCACTATTCCGACAGGTGTGAGGTGATAATCTTATTGTGGATTTAATTTTTATTTCCCTGATGATCAATGATATTCAACATCTTTTCATGTGTATATTGGCCATCCGTACGTCTTCTTTGGAGAAGTGTCAGTTCAGGTTCTCTGCTTCATCTAATCCACTATTGATTCCATTTAATGTATTAAACGGAATATTTCATTTGTTTCATTTCAATTATTGTTTTCTTCAATTCTCACTAGTTCTTTTTTATGGTTTCCATTTCTTCAGGTAAGTTCTCACTGAGTTCATCTACTCTTACCCTAAGTTCATTGAGCATCCTTATAACCAGTGTTTTGAACTCTGTATCTGGTAGATTGCTTGCCTCAATTTTGTTTCTTCTGGAGTTTTGTCCAGTTCTTTCATTTGGGGCATGTTCCTTTGCCTGCTCATTTTGGCAGCCTCCCTGTGTTTGTTTCTGTGCCTTAGGTAGAGCTGCTACATCTCCCAGTCTTGACAGATTGAACTGACGTAGTAGGTGTCCTATGAAGCCTGTGACACAGTCCCCGTGGCCACCTGAGCTGGGTGCTCCAGGGATGTATGTAACATTGTGTGGGTTGTGTGTGTCTTCTTGTACTTGAGCCCTGATTGCTGTTGGCGCATCAGTGGGTGGAATTAATTCTCAGGCTGAATGCTGAATGGCTGCAAAGTACTAGCTTACTGAATAATTATTAAGTACATGAATGAATCAACAAATCAATCAGTTTTAAGTAACTTATCCTCCACAACCTACAAGTTCAGCAGTGGAGTTGTTACAGGATTATACATTGCCTCCCTGTACATTACCTTGTACTCCCACCAATAAGGTACGGAAGTGTCTTTTCCCTAGAACCTGGCCTAGAGACGTGTAATCTGACCAGCACTTTGCTTTCCAAATGGCTTCTAACAGATTCAGTGCTCCTCCCTCCCCGCCCATGCCAGCCACGTGTGGTATTTTCCTCCAATTTTTTGTTTTTTTCTTTTTAACATTGTTTTCAATGTATGATAGGTTTATATAGATACGTCAACTTATCTTTTTCTTTGATTTCATTTATCGTTTTTAAGGTTTAAAATTTCTTTTCTATCCAAAGATTTCTTTAAAAATTCTCTTCTAGTTTCTTATGGCTTATTTAAGTTAAAAAAAAATTCCCTTGTAATTATCTGGAATTTGATCCAGCTGCATCCTGTGACTACAGCAGTAGAGCAAGCCACAGAGCGGGTGACACTCACTCACTGAGTGCTGGATACTGAACTCGCCTGGAGGCGTGGTAATAGCATTTGAAATAAGTGAATTTCAAAGTGTTCCCCCATTAAAAACCACACATATTAATACTTTTATGAATACTTTTACAGAATACATGAGATTGGTTTTTTTAAAACTGAATGATAGTATATGATGAACATTACTGTTAGCAAGTGGAAATTTCTTTGTAAAATGGTACTTAATTCATAATGGTTTTTCATTCGAATTTGGATTAAAGCTAAGTATTAGTTTTAAACCTAAGACCAAATGAAGTTTAAGTATTTCACCTTAGAGATTCAGTGCTGGTAGAAGAAATAGCCTTGGAAATTTGTAGATGGCTGACTGTGCTTTGTATCATAAAATCATTCACATCACTTTCTTTATCGCTACAGACCGCACCCATACCCAGCAGTCATGTTCCCTCCCCAGCTGCCATCTTTCCTTCTGGTAGAGAGTGATTCTGTTTAATAACTCGGTGGTTTGTACAAGTCTAAGAAATAAAAATTCATCAGCAAACATGAGGGAGATGTCCTTTTCAGCCTGACTTAATCCTGGCACTTGAACAGTCTTGAAATGCCAGAGTTTGACTCAAAAACAAAGTTATTTTATCTATGCCATCTGTTTTCATTCACAAAGGCCTGTGACACAGAAGATATGTTTGAATGTTTGCTAGTCTATTCAGGTTTCCTCTAATATATTTTATCTACGACATTTGGTATCCTGTTCATTAACTAAAATAATATGAAAGAGCAAAACTCTCTCTAGAAGAAGGATGTTTCAGCTGCTGTACCTGCCAAAGTCTGCTTGGAGCCAAGAGGAGATGATATATTTGTGAGGGTTCTTTTCTATCTCATGCAACATCAAGGTTAAATCAAAATATTTCAACCCTTGCAATCTATGCGCTCACTCTTACTTCCCCTACTTAGTGGCCCCAAAACGAGAGCCACTTTAGAGGCTTTGTGATTTTTTTAATCTGCATTGTTTTAGATTAGACTGAGCAAGGGAGAATCAAGGAATTATTTACTATTTATTTATCTATTGTCTTTGAATTGTACCAGATACCTGAACTCTGCTGGGCACTTACACAGTGCTGTGGCAACAATTTTTCATGACAGAAATTCCAAGGTAAGAAATGCTATTGGGAAATATTAGAGAAAAATACATATTACGAGTATTAGGAAGCAGGGCTCTTGACTAGGGTTTAAGGAAATTGGAGAGAAGGACTTAGCTTCTGGTTATCTAGGATTAAGATCCATGAAATCTTAAAAGATTTGTCCAAAATGTTCTTGATTACCAGGATAGAAATTGAGAAAGAAAAGTTCTATAATGAAAGTGAACCCAAGTCATACCGTCATGTCCTAATCTGATTTTCAGAAGTATGGTCACCAAGGAGGCAAAGAGTTATATGGGGCAAGTGGCCTGACCCTTGGCCTGGGGGCCTTGAGGTTTCCTACGACTGAAACCTTAAAAACCCCAAGGAGAAAAATACCTAGTTGAAAAATTAAAAGTGACCCTCGCTAGAAAAAGAGAGGCGCTTTATAATTTCTAACTAAGAATCAAAGCATGCTTGCATATTATTGCACATCTAGGTCCAATCAAGGGTGAAAAGAAATCCCCCAGCCCAGCATTTTCAGATAAGAAATTTCAGTTTAGATCTGCAGTGAATGCCAGTACTATCGTTTGCCGTTTGCATCATCCTGGTGTTCTCTGGGTTGGTCCTCTTACTAAGGGAGTTCATTTTTTTTTTTTAACCTACTAGCACCTAGAGAAACCAAAAGGACACACTCCTGTAAAAATAAAACAGCGATAATTTTGGAAGTTCAGATGTGGTTCCACAGATGAGAGTCAGGTGGACTTACTGTCCAGAGCATAACATCTGAGACTTTTAAAGCTTAAGTTTGAAATCTGTGACTAGGGGAATCCTTTCTCATTAAAATTTGACAG